TTAGGCGAACTTATAATAGACATGGTTATAGTGTTGATTTATGCTTGGTGCCACCATAATTACTATTTGTATAATAAAAAGGCTAGGGCCTTCAAAAACGCACGATCTGTTTTCGCGAAGTGTTTCCTTGGAAGCACTACATATTCTGTATGCTTATTGCCATCTCTCACAGATACTGCAAAACACGCTGCCTGCAAAAATATTTGTGGGGAAACTCTCAGGTGCGAAAAACTCTCGAGGCACTCTGGATTAATTCCAGAAATCCGAAAATGAACCGCAGAGAAGAATGCCTCATTATCACGCGTGATATAGGGCAGTATATAAGACTGCCATTCTGATGGGAGGGGCACATTATACTTCCACGTGATTTCTGTGCGGTTGGTCTCTACGTAACATACTTAGTGGAAACCTCATAGAAAGCGGTGAGTGTGCAAAGCTGTGTTCAAAGTGATTGAAATCTTGGTTTGGAGTTTCTTTGCTTGGTTATGGAGGCGTCTGGCCGAGTGAGTTGCTATCAACTTGACCTTTCCAGGCTCTGAAGAAGGCGAAATCCGCCGAAACGTCAGCTTAATCGTGAACAAAGAATAGTAACACCTCGCGTTTGCTCAACAAAAATTCGAAGAAAAATATTTGTTTTGCAATTCACAACTTTTATAAGTAGGGATTTTCACAATTTACACTAATTTCATAGCATTTGCACTTCCTATATATAGTACACACCTCTTACATAACATTAGCACCCCTTACATGTGAAATGCAGCCTTTACGTCAGCTGCTCTTTCCTAGAACATGATTAGTGGTCGGCACAGGAGGAATGGCAGATTAGAAATGTCTCAAGTGAACCTTGAAATCGTTCATCCAAATTTTTTATAAACGTTATCGCAGTTGATCCTCTATGCGTTCACCATATACATCTGGCTAAACCATAAAGAAGTTACAGATATAAGTGCTATTAACCAGTTGTACTATGAGTGAGTTCCACAGCTACTACGAGTTTCACTGATAAAGCAGAATGCGCTGCCAACTAACCAATTGTAGCCACAACCAACTTCGTCTCATTGTAACTCTCTATGACCTTTCGCGTTAACGTGGTCTGAGTGTAGACCTCCTCAAATGTTGAGGACTAAGTTGTAACATCTTTCTCACTTCTCGTTTGGACTGCCATCAGAACCGTAGTCCTGCGAGGCGCTGCTATGTTTAGCCATCTACCGCTAGTCTTTGTCACCACCGTTTTCGTTTTCCGCTCCTTCATTCTTAAATTATTTTTAGACATTTCGTCTGGAAATAGTGCAGATGATATCATATTACATGACTCCATGGAGGATTCTATCTTTGATCAACATTATTCAAGCCTACAAGAGCAAAGATGCTGAAAAAAATATAGATGATACACAGAATATTAAAAGCCACAAAAAACACGTGAAGAGATCGTATTGCAGAAAAAAAGCAGAAAGGGTAATTTTTTAAGCAAAACTGTGGCGAGTCGCGTTGCTTCCAATGTGCATCACGGTCACTAGAAATTTGTAGTCAATGCGAGTGTCTTGAAAATTCGTTGATTTTTATCAATGCTATGGACGTTTAAAAGCATTTTAAAATTTTCTGTTTAGCTAAATTACACTGACTACTAGGGTGACCGAAATTATAGTCAGCGGGTTCAGATTATTAATAGCTGATTCCAACGTCTAGATATGTTCGCTGTTCCATGGCGATGAGCACGGACAAGCAAGGATATTCCTTACTATCCTTCCAGTCTTCATTTAAAACGTTATTGTTACAAAAAAAATTACCACAAAAACCATTTTGAACAAAAGCAGTCTGAATAACCCGAGAAACTTTCCATGGAATCATTGAGGTAACAACAGCGCATTTCATCCACTAGAAAACTTGCAACTACAGTGAAATCACCCTGCTTATTCTCATTTCACTCTCCAGAAAAATCGAAAGAAAAACCACTCCGCTCACTAAAATATTGAACGCTGTCGAGCCGCATTGCTTAGAGGTGCACTATGATGCACATGGATCTTCGCACAGCAAACCCCAGTGCCCTGGGCTATTCTATTCTACTATCATTCTGGTACGGCTAACTGATATCAGACCAATCTGGTAGAATGGAAGACACTACTTAATTGCTATAGTGATATTACCTCGCATGTAATTTAATAGGTCATTCAATCAACTCAACTGTGCTTAATGTATTCGAATGCGTGGCGAATCCCTTAGAAAGAGACTATTGCCAAACGTTTCACCCTCTACTCTTTGTTGTCCTAAGAAAATCAAGTGTTTCTTGTCACATTCCTCTTTCCTTTCCTATATAGTTTAATGCCCTTAATAAATCGTGTAAATAGACCATGGCGTGGGAAGCACTGCCTTCACTTCGTGAGAAATCATCTACTAGTAGTTCACAATCAACAATAATTAGTCCTGACTCTTGAGCAAAGTTCAACTATTAATGCTCAGACCTTCGTTGTAAGCGAAAGATTAAAACTTCACGTAACTAATTTTTCAGTTAGTTTGACAACCATGTGCAGCGAAAAAAGAACAATTAGAAAATCTGTCCATTGAGTCATATACTTAAAAATGTCATTTGCCCCACAAATGCTATCAAACTTATACCCTCACCCTGTACTATTTCGAAAGTACAAATAATGAGCATTTCACCATCTACCGTAGTGAGTCCATTACTATGTGTGATAAGGAAAAAACCCTAGATATTCCCATACGCAAATGTCCGCCTTTCGTTCATGGGCTACAGTAGCCATATAGATGAGGGCATAGTGTTAGGCCATTAGCGATGCACTGGTGGTGTACTGTCTCATTTTAGTCTATTTGTCGCTTTTGTATAACGACTTATAAACTTCTTCCTTTTGTTGATTTCTTCTTTGTAGTGATTTCTTTTCATGTGTTATAATTCCTCCCTTAAGCATTCTATTTCATTACAATTACTTTTCGACGAGTACTAATGACAGTGCTATATATATATATATATATATATATATATATATATATATATATATATATACAGATATATGCATGTATATATATATACTTAATACTTGATACGTGAATGATCCGTCCTTACTGGCTGTGCAAGGCGGGCCCCAGATCTCCACTTTTCTGACATTTGCTGGTTAAGCCATTGCGGTTCCTGCGAATCTGGTGGTCCTTTTACTACTTTTTAAAGTTTACGTCTTAAAAAATATCTAAGCTTTACAATTTTGGCATTTCACTTGGTGTTAGATTACAAAAAATATTATAACCGGTACCCACCGATAGCTTCACGACCGTATACGTCCAAACTGAGTTGCTGATGATCTAAACGAACCATTTTCCTTAGAAGTTCCAGGCGTATTATAGCTGCTCAAACCAAAATGTTCATAGTGATTTTGACTACGATTTTCCAAAGATCTCAAGGTGCTTAACTATTTTCCAATATTTTTGTAGTGAATCATAATAAATGTAGTCAAGATTAAGTTTTTTAATTAAAATGTTATACAGTATCGTGCAATATCGATCATGACACTTGGTCCAGAATAATTCCGGAATTTCAAAATATATGGCATCAGTTATGTTTTATAACTATTAAATGTAATAGGAATGAGAGGGCGAAGATACCACAATGCTAGTGATGCCCTTCATCACTATCGCGACGTTGGTTCGCCGTTGCTCCGAGTTCGTCAAGCCTCTCCTCCTCCGAGGTCGAAAACTGGTTTCAGACTTGTCTAGGGACACCTCGTTTTTTGTAATCCAAGTGAAAGTGCTCTAACCTACTAGTCACAGGACTAGAGAGAGTTAACTCGACCAGTATTCAATGAAATTCATCAGGAAGACGGCTATCTTCAAGCAGCAGTCGAGAAAACACGTGAAAAGTCAGAAGATTTTTGTGGAAAATGGAAGCGAGGAAACGATACCAATATAGGAAGTGCCGAGTTTGGCAGAGTAGACGTGAAGATCTGTTTTGCAATATAAAAGAAATTCTAATAAGTGCACACAACTCATTAGTAAGCATTTTTCGTTCAGTACAGCGAAATCATCTCTTATTCATCACAATTATAGACCTGCCAACGTAAGTAGGAGATCGATCTAGCTTCCTACTCATTTGAATGCAAATTAAAATGATGTTTATGGTGAAAGAATAATACGTATCATTAGCGTCCATAGCCATTCGTTTCGTTACGTCGCATCTCCAGCTAGCTCTTGCAATATTACATTTGTGCTGGGAGCTGTATTTTTTTTTCGTGAAACACATTTTATACTTAGTGGATTTTTGTTTTCCAAAAGATCTCTGACAACGTTGTACTTCGTGTGAGATCCAAGTCATTTAAGCGGATCAACAGCTTGCTATGGACGCCATGGATGCATATTCTTGTACACATTCAGCACTGTATCAAACAAATGAACTCTCGACTATTTTGTAATAGCCCAGCTTTAAATCCTACCTGTACAACAAATTCCGTCAACTCATCTGTCGTTTCGCTTTTTTAAAAATTGTCATCAAACGAAAAGAACGATGACTTATCTATCTTTTGGCCGAATGCAGCGGTGTTCCAGTGCTGGGTGTTTTTAGAGTCGAGTAGATTTTACTGTGAACCTAAGATAAAAATAAAATTCCAAAGAATCATCTTTCTCCAATTTGTTCTAATTTAGTCACCTGGTTCATGACAAACCTAGTATGACCAAAATCGCAGTAGAAAGTACGAACCGTTCAACAGCTTAGTCTTAGTAATAATGTTGTGACAACCGCTGTGATTAAGTGAAGTCGTTCGGCTAGTTATATGATTTCGAATATCTATTGCAGTCACCTAAAAAGGTAAGAGATGCTGAACACGAGACTGCTGTCCTTACTTGTGCTCGTCACACTTGTCACCTGTTCTTCTGCTAACAACGTATGTAAGCTTAACTGAAAGAATGAAGAAAAGTTTGAATCTCTATCATTCCATTTGTTCCAAATCAGCGCTATATTACAGCGAGCTAAGCGAGCGATCAACCCTTTCCTTGATTCAATGGGTAAGAGAGTTGTTAATCCATTCATGGACTCGATTGGAAAAAGAATGTCAGGTTTTCAACCGTACCTCGCACTTCAGAAAAGGTTTGTGGTTTTTCACTACACTTACAATCACACGAATGAAGAAACTATAATCATCTTGCCATACGTGGTTTCTTCATGTGGGAAGTACACACGACTTGTTGATTCGACAGATTTTGTTCTTCATTTGTAAAGTAAAAAAAAGTTAAAGGCACTAAAATGGAATGATTAAGTTTTGTTTCCTGAAAAATTTCATAATAACGAAAGCAGCTTTGCATTTAATGAGAAGCAGCTTCCTTGACAAAACAGCACTACCAACATGATTAAACGAAACGTGGTGCCAGAACTTTCAAGTTATTTTTCAATGAAACATTAACAACTTAGTTTCTCATTGAGTTTTTAAAACCATTTTTCCTTTGGGCTCACATATGTGTTACGCCCCATTCGATGATTAAGGTACCCTGGGAACAACCTTGGAAACAGTAAGTTTCTTCCAACTGCATTTGATAAGTAGAATGAACGACGTTCTTTTGATGAAAGGACATTCAGTTATTCAAAGCTTGAAATCAGTCATTGTTTTCTGTAGATGGCTTTTCTACAGTTTTAAGCACTGAAAACAAATGCTCAGCTGAGCAGATGCCAGTGTAAACAACTGTATTATCCACATGTCTGCCGTAAGACGAATAGAACATGATCGCACGAATCAGTAAACATTTCGCATATTGTAATGTTGGTAGCTGATTGGCTTTACCTGTACACTCATTTTGCACCACGAGAAGCCAAGAGCATCAGGATTTCTTTTTTCTTTCACCACTTCAGCACGATAACATTAAGACTGCATTGTGGCTGCACCATTCGGTATATTGTCGGCTGCTGTTCAGTTACCCACCTGGAAAAATCTGTTCTGTCACTTTCACCTTTGCCAATCACCCGTATCAATCTTTCGATCTCTCTCATTCTTTCTGGAGTTGACAAATGATTTCTACCTTTTTCAGAATGCAATTGCAAAACTTGAAGCGGTATAGGTATCGTTTTTCCCTAAAAAATAATGTTGAAAAATCGCCTTGCTCCTAAGTGGAACCAGCGACTCGTCAATCCAAGCGTCTCGTCTGCAGATTCCACCACATATATTACCAAACAAAACGAAGAAGAGAAAGACCTTGTACAATCGTTGAGAACCACCAGAGCTTAGGTTGTCACCACAATGAAGTTCGCTTCAAACTTCTTTAGTGGTTTTCTGTGCATAACCTCACAGTGAACTGAGAGATTTGCGAGGAGAGAGCCATAACTGTAACATTCCTCACCGGTTGGCTATTCGACAGCATCCATTTAAAAGCATAAACAAAAAAAATTCTTCATTTATTCAATTTTTGTTGTCAGTTATGCTTACTGTTTTTCATATCCCTCACTGCATTAGCTTTGTAGCCTATATAAATAACAACATTTCTGTTTAAGAAAGGGGAGAATAAAGAAGATTATTTGGAGTTCAGTGCGTGCATTAGTTCGGATTGATTCTTAAGTTACGGTGTGATTAACATAAATCACGAACAATGACTGTGTCTGGCCATCAATCCTAACCATCGAAGGATTTTCCATCTGTTCTGTTTTCCGTATTTCTTCATTTCTGACTATTTTAAAACGAACCTAAATTTATACTAAACAACTGATACCGTTGACAAATGGCGCATGTAGCGCAGTGATCGCAGGCGCTCTGTAACACACACGTGGAATCGATCCCCGCAGCCATGGCCCACCAAGCCTTTCATCCCTCCGGGGTCGGCAGATTGGTACCAGACTTGCCTGGGAGGAAAGCAGCACTGGCTCGATACATCGGCAAGCCACCGCGAGTAAAGGCCAGATATACATGCAGCCACCTTCAGCGATGCTTAATGAAGTTGAGTGCATAGCGCATCCCTCAGAGTTTGATCAATACCGAAACCTTTATCCTTTTTTATACTGTTTGACTCACTTTGGCATCTTCTTCGTGACTCTCACTTACAACTTGAAGGAAGTTACAGAAGATATTTTGCTTTTCGTACTTGCCACCACCCCCACCTCCCCCTCCCGTGAAAATATTCCATATTAAACCCGAGGAAAGTTAAGAACAAATTTAAGCGCTTAAATTAAGGTTAATTGGCGAAATATAAAGAAAGGAAAATAAAAGTGACCCAAAATGCAACAACAGCAATAAGAGATAGAGAAACCGCGCTGAAAAGATTGCATGGCGTTCCGACGTTACAGTTCGATGAAAACACATTTAGTTATGGTAAAAACAAGTCTTGCTGTATAAAACTCATTAGATCCGAACAAGTCAAGTTAACCAATAAAGTTCTTTTTTCTTCCAGATATTTCGACAGTTTGGCCGGTCAAACCCTAGGAAAGCGGTCAATTCAAGTATTCGATGTCTGAAGTGAGATCGCAATCTACACAGATATCTATGTGCCGAACTGATAATGAAAGACGAGATCATGTTGTTGATAAAAGATTACTTTCTTGGATAATTGACGCAAAGAAATTCAGACGGCCAGTAAAACATGCAAATAGGAACATAACAGTAACAGAACAGACAAAACACTCTAGTTTTTATACTAGCAAAGAACACATTGCTCGAAAACTTCTGCACTCATCACACCTCACAATTGCGGCATGATACTCAAGATCGTTGTAAACTTATTTAATCGTACGTTAAGTATACGAATCTTAATGATTTATTTCTAGAAATTTCTTGTAAGCTGTGTAGAGATTGACGGAAAGTTATCATTGTTTATGTTCCTGCAGAATTTCAACTCATTTAGAGTAGTTTCACTTAATATCATTTACTAGGGTAACATTCGATAAATTTTTTTCAGCGTAATCCGGTCTTCGGCTCAAATTCGATAATAATATAGTCTTTACGATGCCTATATTTATTTGAAGCTTGATTTTCAGTGACAATATGCTCATGGTCTCCAGTTCGATCTCTTACTGGGCCTCTCGTATCTCCGTGGTCGGGAAGTCTGTAACAAACTTGTCTGGGAAAAGCCTGCGACCAACAAAACACCGATAATACATATGTGGTGAAATTTTGAGAACACTGTAGTACAGCTGTCTTAAAAGTGCAAGACAATTAAACTCTACCAGCATGCAACAACATTCATAAGGGGACCACCGAAATCCTCAAAGAATAGCTAAGCCCACGCGCAAATCCGAAGACTTTAGTGGACGATGAATGCAATGGAACAAATCGAATCGAATAAAGGGAGTAAGGATCCAAGCACTGTATGAAGTCGGGTCTCATAAAGGAAATAGACAAATAATTCACTTAATCAACAGAGAAGGACACAAATGTTACAAATCACATCGCAGAATAGAGTGACTGCTTTTCTGCAAGCTCTCAGTACCATATTTAAATGAGAATTATTAAATTAAAATGTAACTGTGTTTGTAGGAAACGAAGATGGGTAAAACAATTTTCACCTAGTCAACAATAAAAGGAGTATGAATGCGTCGTTTTCTTGTTCAGCAATCTCGAGGTTGCTAAGCAAAATAAAACACCAGCGCAAAAACTTCTTCAGGCTTTTTGGATGAATGCCAAAAACCCTTCAATGAATAGGAGAGACGAATGCCCAGAGGTCATAGGTGACCTAACCCAGTATGTTCGCATCGCTTTCTGATGTGGCATGGTGCAGTCATCAACCATAAGCCACTATAATCAGCTGTTCTAACCTTCCTCATTGGAAGTTACGTAAAAAGCGGTGAGTTTTTCGAGAAGCTGTTGATCATGTAATTGCCATAGAGTTTTTCTTCTCTTTGTAAGTGTTATTCAAGCGTTTGGCCTAGTAGGCTGTAGACCAATATACCCTTCCAAGCTCTGAATAAGGCGATACTGCCGAAACGTCAGCTACTGCTGCATTGTATTGTGTGTTTTTCTGTCGAAGGAAATGTATGCTGTTTAACAACCTCGCGATTCCTCAGCAAGAAAACGGCGCATTCATATTTCTATGAAGAGGTTCCACAGATCTCCCTCATATGAGGGATCCCTAGAAGGTTAGACGAGAGACTCCGTGGTGCGTCCCGAGGTGGTAGACAAGTGGTTAATCGCGGATCAAAAGCGACCATTGCTTCCTTGAGGGGCAGGTGGATCCAGGGGATAGACCTCTTGTTTCTGCTGCGCTGATTTGACACACACTTTCTGTATTTGCTAGGTGCACTCATGCATGCGCGTGTGAGTGCATTCTTGCTTATGCAGATAGTATTCTACGAGTTAATTCGGCCAAAAGCCTGCAACCAAATGACTGGAAAGTATATGGGAGGCGGTTAGGAGTCGCCTCCAACAATTAAGCTCCATGTCCACTCTGGGAGAGCCTAGTAAGCTACCCGTGAGTATACCAAGCCCCAATGTTCAGAGCCAAGCAAGCTTTGCGTGGGTATCAAAAATGCTAAACACAGTAAAAAAAAAAAGCGGGCCTCATTCCCCTGACCCCGAAAGAGCCCCAATTTTGCAGCGTTGGGTAGGACTAGTACGGAGAGGCTGCTAAAATCTTAGGACCAATGGAAGCTGCCTGGATTTCAAAGAACTATGGTGACGATCTGTACCTACAATGCACGTACACCTGCATCCGAGTCCTCGATAAAAGATATGCCCATTCAAGCAAAAAGGATAAGGTGCGACGTTATCGGCCTGGCAAAGACGAGAAGACGCCAGCCTTTCAACGCCGTCTATGACACCGAAGAGGAACTGTTCCTCGGAACATGCGACAGTAGAGGAGTTGGCGACGTCGGCGTTCTCGTCAACACGAGTTTGTCCATGAACATCGATTCATTCGAACAACTTACAACCTGAATCGGTCGTTTACGATTAGGAAGACGTGGATCAATTCTGGCTTTAACAATTTTCGTTGTTTCGCGCCGACATCAAACTATGACGAAGAAGTCGAAGCGTTCTATATGGAGCTCGAGAAATTCTACAGAGAAGACCACACATTCTTCAAGGTCGTCACTGGAGATTTCAACGCCAAGATTGGAACAAGAGGAACGTGTGAAGAATGTCACATTGAAACCCACGGATTAGAATGGAACGAACAGGGTGAGCTCCTATCTGAGTTTATCACGGCGACCAAGACAATCCATGGTAACTCGCAATTCCGGAAGCCCCACCCTCATCGCCGAACGTGGGAGTCCCCAATGGGGAGTACAATAACATTTGACCACATC